CCTGTATATTTGAAGTTTAAATGTTCTCCCCTTGGTTACGTGGATTGTTCTCCGGGTCCTGCATTTCGGGTATTTGGCTGCTATAAATTTCCACATAATGAGCTACTTCGTTGAGCAATCATTTATGGCCAGGTCGCTTATGAAAAAAGAGCTACATAGCTCGGTGGACCTTACCTGGTAAAGAAAATTAAATAAAAACAATAAAAATGTTAAAATGTTTGTGGTGAGCCAGTTTGATCACGTGGGTATTGTTTTTGCTGCTTTATGATTTTATGTAAAGTGTCTTTGAGTATTCAGAAAAGCGCTCACAAGGAAAATGTATAATTATTATTCAGCCACCCAAATCCATAAAGTTTTGTAATAAGCACAAAACTGTTGGCGTTTAAAGCATTCAGATATATAAAGTGCACATTCTGTTTCTGTTGCGTCATTCTTCCGTATTTCTTGAGCTTCCTGTTGTTGTTTGCTGCATTACTCGTTTGCAAACAGTCATTTGTCAGGCTGTCTTTATAACCTGGCTCAATGACACTTACCTCCTGAGATCTGATGAGAATCGGGTGTATTCCCGCTCATTTAGCCATAGATGCATCAAGACACGTATTTAGCGTGCCAATATATTGTAGAAACGAATACAGTTACAAAAGTTTGTGACACGTCACGGACAAAAAGCAATAACAACAAACGCATATTTCGGCCACAATTGTCCAGTGGACATAATGTCACTGCCATAGCTGACAAGCGGCAAATACATTAACGGGAATTGCCGACTGACACACACGTTCCTTTTGTTGTGGAAATATCTTCGGAAATTACGAAATCTTTTACGCCATGGAAAGCAAGAATAACAGTCCAACCCTCAAATCCGTTAGCTTTTCTGATATCCCTACAAAAAACAACACGTCACACTGTGTAACATTTTTTTTGTTCCTGGGTAGTCAGTGTTATTTCCTAATTGCTTATGCCTACAAGTACAGAAAATGTCTATTATTCCCCACAAACTTAGCTTTTGTGACCAGGATAGTGAGATTTAGAAATTTACACATTTTCCAGAACATTCCAGATAGATTCAGTGCTGAGTAAACTCATTCTAGAACTTTACAGTAATATAAATAGTAGTATAAATACAGGCGCCTTAAGCCCACCCGTTCAGTTTAGTTCCAGCTACCTAAGTGGATACATATCTGCATTTTTCTGAGATGGCATCAAGAGGCTGCAAGCATCCGGCAGACGCATTTTGCTATGTCTGCGGCCAATTTATCAAGACAAGGGCGAAAAAGTAGTCTGTGGAAGCATCTGCTAAGATGTGTGAGGCCTAGAAGGCATATATAAGGCAAACCCTGGGCACCTCAGAATTTTATGTTTTAAAATTTGTTAAAAGTTTTAAAATTGTAAAAAAAAATGTTTATGTTTAACAATTTTCAATGTTATTGAAAAAACATATATGAAAAATATTTCGAGAATCTATTACACATTAGTCATAGGTGAAGCTCGCTATCCCAAGAATTTAGCGGGAACCCACTGACCACTCAAGCAACTGCTACTTCTGCATGGTGGACCCTTCCGAACATCGCACTGGCAAGAATGCACCTGCTATCACGTATCCAGACCTTCCTTCATCCATCGCCACGGTGCCACACTGCCATGAGCTCCCTGTACACACTCCTCCGGAGAGAGAGCAGCCGTCTTTAGAAGAGAGCAGCAAGTCAGAGAGCGAGGAAGATATTGTAGATCCAGATGACAATTTCAGAGGTGGAGCTGAGGAGAGAAATCCATACTACCCCGACCAAAAATACCTCAACGACTTGATCATAGATTTTGGTCTCACCAAGTCAAATGCCGAGCTTTTGACGTCTAGGCTCAAGCAGTGGAACTTGTTGAATGAAAGTGTGCAAGTCGCAGATCAGAGGAAGCATCACCAACCTTTTTGCAGCTTCTTCACTCGTCAAGATGGGCTCTGCTTCTGCCACAATGTGACCAGTCTGTTCGAGGCAATCGGAATCGCCTGTAACCAGAATGAGTGGCGCCTCTTTATTGACAGCTCATCCAGAAGCCTCAAAGCCGTGCTGTTCCATAATGGTAACAAGTACCCGTCTCTTCCCCTGGCTCACTCAGTGCAACTCAAAGAGGATTACAACAGCATCAAGACCTTGCTGGATGCCTTGAAGTATGATGAGTACGGCTGAGAAGTCATTGGAGACTTGGTGGCATTCCTGATGGGTTTCCAAGGCGGGTTTACCAAGTTTCCCTGTTATCTTTGCCTTTGAGACAGCAGGGACACCAAGGCGCACTACCACATTCGGGACTGGTCACAGCAGATTGAGTTCTCTGTGGGGAGGAACAACGTCAAGTGGGAGCCACTGGTGGACCCCCGGAAGGTGCTGATGCCACCACTGCACATCAAATTGGGCCTTATGAAACAATTTGTCAGAGCTCTAGATAAGGAGTCAGCAGCCTTCAAGTACCTTCAGGACTTCTTCCCTAAGCTGTCTGAGGCAAAGGTCAAAACCAGTGTCTTCGTCGGACCACAGATGAAAAAGATCCTGGAGTGAAATGAATTCCCAAAGAAGCTCACTAGTAAGGGGAAAGCGGCTTGGGACAGCTTTATCGCAGTGGTTTGTGGCTTCCTGGGCAATCACGAGGTTGAAAACTACGTGGAGCTGGTTGAGACTGGTGAAGATCTATGCCACAATGGGCTGTAGGATGTCCCTCAAAGTCCATATCCTTGATGCTCATCTTGATAAATTCAAGGATAACATAGGAGCGTACTCGGAGGAGCAAGGCGAGCTCTTCCACCAGGATATACTGGACTTTGAACGCCGCTACCAAGGACAGTATAATGAGAAGATGATGGGAGACTACATTTGGGGGCTGATTCGTGGAAGTGATTTACAGTATAATCGTAAATCTCAAAAAACTTCTCACTTCTAGATCTTTTGTAGTCATTTTGTATTACTTTAGTATAAATACATGTTAATTTTGATTAATGTTCTTTTTTTCTGTCTTCATGTGAACGAAAATACACAAATTCGGCCATTTTCTCATTGAAAATAGGTCAATTTCAAAATATCACTGTCCTGGTCACAAAAGCAAAGTTTGTGGGGAATACTAGCCATTTTCTATACTTTTTAGCATAAGCAAATTACGAAATAATACTTACTACCCAGGAATAAAAAATTGTGTTAGTGTCATCAGTCAGATTTATAACGAACCATTAATGAGCGTATGAAATATACACCCTTTCTTTTGGCTGTCGGATCGACTATGAGCAGAATCGATACCATAAACACCCCGATCGATGTTCCACAAGACAGCCCCATTGGGCAGAGATACACCGGGTTTCCGAACGAATACATTGAGGTTGCACTCATTACGCACAGAGTGCTTGCCACAAATTAACCCACAATACCTTGCTGATCTCATCAGGGAGCATAAACCGTCACGCAAATTCTGGTCATTCTTGCAGTAGCAGCTTTTGGCTAACCATCGGACAAAGACAGTCACCGCATTACACACTTTCAAATGCATTTCTGCGGCCGTCTGGAACGCTCTTCCTTGCGATATTAGGAAGCCACAGGAGCTATGCACTTTTAAATCTAGATTTAAAACTCTTTTCTTTAGCACGGTTGGCTATGTATGGTGCGAAAGATATTTAAATATACATACACCCGTATGGGCAACGCATATTTTCTTCCATATGTGGCTGATCACTGATCCGTGATTTCGTTGACTGTCCAATAATAATTGTATTCCAGGGCAATGCCCTCTCCGTTAACGTGGCCGGGCCTCGCGTCATCTCAGCGAACGGTCCTGGATTGTGACGCCGCAGAAGCCGCTTCTGTGCTTACTCAGCTTAGGTCTCTCTTCACAAATGCTCGATGGCCCTTGGTCCATGAGCCAAGGGGGGAGTTTTTTCGGTAACCACTCGGGGTGGCAAACACTGCCGGTATCCAACACGGGCAGAAAGCTCAAACATCGACACTGTCTATTTTTCAGACCAAACTTCATACTGCCCAAATGTCCCATATAACGTACACATATTTTTCATAGGCAGTATATTGAACATTGTTACTGTCGTTGTTTTTATGAATGTGCCTGTCTATATTACGATTGTGGTGATATGTGCATATGACAAAGGCTAATATTGGATCCACTACTCAACTTCCTTATTTTGTCTGCCCCCAAAACGACATTCTTTATGAAATACATGAAGGTATTCTTATCTTTTGGACCCATTTCGCCAGTATCAAGATGATTAAACACATTTATTGGCTTTACCCTTTCCGGAAAGAATACAGGAGGTGTTTAAATGTTCAAACACCACGCAAACACAAGGCATCAAGTCTGCATTAACCATGTACGCTTGTGGTAAACATGCAAACAAACATGTTTTGATAATAATAATGTATGCATTGCCTTTCAAACTGATTGGCCTACACCAGAGACAGTCTCCTTTATGGTCCTGTCTCAACAGTGTTCGACCACAGAAGGCCAAAAGGCGAACAACACAAAGACAATGCAAATATCAAAGCATTAATGGCTCTGATCGAGCCGTTATGGGAAACCTTTTTGCCAGTATCAAGATGATGAAAAAATTAATAGGCCTTTACCCTTTCTGGCAAGGGTAGACACCGATCAGAAGCCACCAACATTTTATTCCTGATATGTTACCACGGTGACCTTTCTGTCGTACGTATTTGTGATTTAGAGATACACAACTCTTCAAGAAAAGTATTCTTAGCATTTGCCACTCCAGGTGGTACCAATAGCACAATTTTGTGCCAATGGCTGGAGAACCACTTAGTGCATCCGATATAGGATGCAGGAGGTGGTATCCTCTTAAATGGCGTATTTAAGTTTCAGCCCTTAGAGCTGAACTGTGCTGAATTGGGTTACAAAACAGTATGAAGTTTATCTCATGTAGTCATCGGTGACTGGGTTGAGACCATAAACTCATAACACTTGAGCGCCTGGTTACATTGGCGTTGGCTCAGTGTTCTAACACGTGTTAACGTTGGGCCAACGTTAGCACCTAATTGGAACCGCTTGACCCAACGTTGGCCTAACGTTCCTTGTGTACCTGGGGAGGCCCATTAGCAACCAGTCACCTTTAACAGGTGATCTATGAGGTGGAGGGGAGGAGATTCAATGTCAGTGATAGATATTTTCATTTTAACGCAATCGACAACGAACCTTCCTTTGGTGTGTGCTGCGATGGAAAGTCCGGAGAGGCTGTGGAGAGCTCATTTCTCAACTGTGCTTGAGAAACGTTTTTTGAAGAGAGATTCAGCGATAAGGATCACACAGCGCATGAGCAATTCGCAACGCATCAAACGGGCCGCGTGCTTCCTCCGAACAGATCTCTGCCATCGAACGTAATGGCGCCCACGACGATGGCTCGTTTCTCTGTGTTCGGCTGTCTCGCCGTGGTCTTAGTTTCAGCCAAGATACTGACGTTCGCAAGAGAACAAATAGGTAAGGCGCTTTGTTGTTCCGACGTATGTTTATTATTTTAATTAGCATTGAAACAATCAAACAAAAAAGCCGCTTCATTCAAGAAATATGTAAACAATTACGCGTTTTCTGAATCGGAAAAAAACTTTCGTCACGTTTAAGAATAATAATGATAAGCATATTTACAATTCAACTAATATTCGTATTGAGAAATAATGCAGTGGTGTAACGTGCAGTGCAGTGGTTAGTCCGCTGTGCTTTTGAACTCCCGTTGAGTTCAACTCCTGGCGATATCTGAACCAGTACTGGGGTCCCCAGACTAACCAGCATGACGAATTATGCCTTCATCCAACAGTAGATTGCCAAAGGGATGTTAAACGGTTTCAAATTGTGAAATTAATATTTTACGCGTTAATAATGTTGCAGCGTAGTCGTATCTCAGGAAGCTCAATCTAAGTGAGTCTCACTGCGTATAAGGTATGTCGCAATGTGATATGCGCAGGGCACTGGCTGTGATACTAATATGTTAAAACGTGGGCAGTGTTACGTATTATTACACTTTAAATATATGTAATGATTTTACCAATTTCTAAAGCAGCCAACAAGTCGTCATGGGGGTCAAATTGAGGCAATTTTCCTACTGCTTGTACATTCCTAATGAGTCAACTTGTTTCGGTTAAGAGTGATGCACATTGTAAACCTGACAGGGTCACATTAGGCGGCATATCATCGCAACCCACGGTAAATTATTATTCCTAATTGTTTAAGTAATATTCGAATGCTCGCTGCCACTGTGCTGCAATGGTTAGCCACGCTGGGCTTACAACCCCAGAGGTCGGCGGTTCAATTCGATTTCCCGGCGCGGCAGTTGGAACAATGGGGCGAGTTTCTCAACCCCCCCCCCTCCAACCCGCAACTCCGCGGCCTCTGTCCAGCCAGCAGCTCTGTAGATGGGTTCGCCACCACGCCGAGTCGATCGGCAAGTCGCCTGTTGTGTTGTGCAGTGAGGGTGTTGCCCCCTCTACCAAGGCGTCTGGGTAGCGTGGGAGAGTCAGCGAAATACTTCCCCCCCCCCCCCCCACCTCGAGATGCCTCTTTAGAGATCTCTCTAGCAGAGGGCCTTCTTCCAGCAGTGGCGTGAGCAAGCAAATTGCAGGGCTGCACCTTTTACCTGAAAGTCAGAAATGTATGAACTGTATGTTGAAAAATGTTCCCACCGTACGGAACCAACCGTGCTAATCGGAAGTGCAGTGTTGAGTCTATGGGCAGCACGTATGTTGAACTTCTTTTGCACCGTATGTGGCCAACCGTGCTAATCGGAGGTGCGGGAGAAGGACAAATGAAAGGCGGCGTGCGATGGGGTTTTTTTCCCACCCACAAGGAAATTCATTTCCACCGGCTTTCGATAAGCACTGTACGTGGACCATCGTAATCGGCTGCCCCATTACAATGCTAAGTTTTTCCATTGCTTAATTTGTGGACATCTATAATGGCGTTTTACTTTTACGATGGATCGAGTTTTGTTGCTTAACGGTCAGTTCACATCTTACTATCATCTAAGCTGTATTTGTGAAGATATCCGGCTTGCCCTTTCCTATAATTGGCAATGTCCCCCTTTTCGGTATACTTTGAAGTATCACTTGGTGGCATGTTACGTATGTACTTCAACTTCTTTCGCACCGTACGTAGCCAACCGTGCTAATCGGAGGCGTGATCGCTCTCCAGATGCCTTAAAATAAACAAAATACTGTTTTGTTATGTAGTGTTGCTGTTGTTGTTGGCCCACATGTATCCTAACACTGCAGTTCTCTGCGCAGTGATCGATGGATTTTGCAGGTATGGCATTGTCCTCGTGAAAGGAAACTACAGCTTCTCCCTGGACAAAGCCATCGAAGTGTGCGGCCTCCTAAACTACACGCTGGCCACCAGCGAAGAGCTAGAGCAAGCGTACAACGTAGGCTACGAGACGTGCCGGTAAGAGATGCTGCCCCGGTGCGCGTGCCTGCTACCTCTCACCCAGCACTGTGGGGGGGTTTGTGGCTCGCACAAATATGGCGAAACTCCCTTCCCGTGGGTGTAGCCAGGGGGGTTTGCCACGGCCTGACTCGCCAGGGGATGGCGTTGCAGCGAAATGTGGAATCCATCTCGTCCGTCCGCATGGGATAGAGTGTTGCCCCCTCGCACGCGTGGGGTTTTTCGGGGTGCTCCGCTTTCCTGCCACATGTGAACACTCGTTAATTGGCTGTAAACGCCTTGATAATCAGGGGTGCCGCAGAGCTACGGCAATTATTGGTGCCAGCTCACCACCTGGCGGCTGCTTCCCCGCTAGTCTGTGGTTCTTCACGCCTCTGAATGCCCCTCTCCCTTCGAGAGTGAGCAAATACTGCGAAGTGCATTATACGTTGAAATCGTTATTCGTTGTTTTCCTGACTGCCTCAGCAATTTTATTTGCATTTCATTTGTGTGCAATGTTCTCCCTCACCTGTTACGTTTTAATCTAGTCACTTTCATTTATAAAAGTCATGTCATATTGTTTATAGTTTTGTAAATTTAATGGCAATGTACCTTTATTTTATTTGGACTTAATCGCATCGTACTGCATTCGTTCATTGCCAAATTTAGTATACATTGGTTGAATTGAAGTTGTTAAACTCGTTTTTTGGTCAACCCAGATCGCCCTTGCAGATGAGGCAATGCTGCTTAATGCGCCCCACTAGGTTTATTGTATCTCCTGGTTAAACGAAGGGTTCAGCAACAGCAACAATAGCCCCCCTCCCCACACACAGAGCAGCAACAACAACAAAATGCGAGGTGCACTTTGAGGCCACGTTAAGTGGGAATGACTCATGGGTCTCAGGTCATGGCACAGAGAAACGTTGTGCGTTAGTGGACAAGGGTGATTTGACAGATGCAGCACGGGCACGCCCCAATGTACCAACTAGTTGTGTTTTGGCTACCTGGTGCTCTGCTCTCTCGTGTGAAGAATATTTGCTTTTCTGCCTCCTGCTGTGGCTGGAGGGCAGCTGCCCACCAACTGCCCAGTCACGTTATTCATAAGCCCATTCACAGGATGATCTTGGCATCACTGGTAGCAGTCATCGGCAAGTCCAATCAGCTCCAAGTGCCCCTGTACCACAACAGCCCAACTCCTATTTATACCGTGCCATGCCCATTCACCCCCCCTCAATCCAACCAAGCAGAAGCTGCTTGGGAATGCAGTCGCTGTGGCATGCTGGCAACATGACTCAGCCAATATACCCTTGCCTGCCCCACAGGAGTGTACTCGTGAAACTGTGTCCAGATCTCTCAATGATCTGAGAGCTCCTCACACAATCTAGCTTGGTTATAGCCAGCATGGATCGTGGATGGGTCTTTGTTTTTGTTGTTGCTATGCCCACGCACCACAGATTCCCGTTGTAAAGTAGCCGAGCAACTGGGAACCGTTCATGTAACAAATTAAAAAAAACTCAAACCAATGCGCCACCGCTACACACACACGCACATATATACCTTTCTATCACCACAAGTGGATATTACAGATGCAATGTCTACTGCTTCAGTGACCTATCGTATTATCCTGCCAGGTAGCACTGTGGTCAAAGTTATTGACTCACAATCAGAAGGTTGCGAATTCCATAGTCAGTCAGTGGTTGACTTAGGTCATCAGAATCATCATCCCTGTGACATGGAATGATGTCCTCCACTTGTGCGAAGTCAATAGTGGTTGCCCAATGGTTGTCCCATGGATAAACTTGTCCCTGCCATGGGAATATAGATAAATATGCGTGCTGCGGTGGCGAAATGTAAACTGCCCCACCTGGTATATAGGAGTTTGTCGGTTCGATCCAGACCCTGACGCCTGTATGTTTGGAGTTTGCATGTTCTCTCCATGGTCGCATGGATTTTTCTCCGGGTCATCTGGTTTTTCTCTCGACATTTAGAATCCACATACGTTGAGAGTATTTGGTTGCTAGAAATATTTCCACATTATAAGCCATTAAGGTGAGATATAATTTGTGGCCAGGTCGTTTTTGAAAAAGAGCTACCTACATAGCTCAGTGGGCCTTACCTGGTAAAAAAAAAATGTAAACTAGTTTTATTCAGAGGTCTATTTACAATCATGGTTACATAGGTCGTGATACAAATAGCGAGTATCGGTACGTGTTTTACATGATACAAGAATAGGGACCAGTCGAGAAGGTTAAACAATAAAAACACAACGACATTATTTTACAGATAAAAATAAAAGAAGGAAAAAAAGAATACTTTAAAAAACCAAACGCAATTAGAGGCTGGGAACTTTAACTACAAGCCATAAAACTCTGGCTCATGATTCTCTACCTATAGTTTATAGCATATATTGACCTGTACAAAGTGTACATATTTGACCCTTAGAACGTGATTCGATGCATACATGGTGAGTGTGAGAATTTTAATTGATCGCACAAATCAATGAAATATTTTTCACACCCTGTGGACAATGAAATTCGGCACCGTACGAGCAAAGGGCACCTACGACGAATGTGTTATCATTCCATTTCATTTTGTCTTTACTCAGGTACGGATGGACCGCTGACGGGAAGTACGTTATCCCAAGACACAAGCCACAGGACACGTGCGCAAAGGGGCAAATCGGCTTGCTGATATATGAGAGCCAGCAGAACAAGTCTTTCGATGCCTACTGCTTCAACAGTAGCGGTAAAAAAAACATGCACTGCTCACGCGCATTGCACGTTGCGTTGTAAAAGAAACCCAACCTTAACGCGCAATTATCTACATTATTTGCCGACGAAGCACAATTACATGTGACGGCAGCAAGACACTGCCTGTTACAGTCACACTTGGGACAAGTTTAGGATAAAAAAATGACAGATTTTCAGATATTCTAAGGACAATATTGAAATGGAGCGGAATGCCCTTCCTTGCCCTGTCCGACCTCTCATATCATACGTGCCGTTGCTTGTTTGTCTAGGTGACCCTCACATTGGAGACTTGTTATCCAGTGGGTTCTCACTTGGTGAACCATATGCAAAGTCAATCTAAACCAAACTATTTTAACTCATTGTTTTTTTTAACCAAGCAAAGCCCATTTTCTTGCTGTGGTTTTCACACCTGATGATGTTTGCTTGTGTTGCAGTCGAAACGTCGTGGGAATTTTATTGTTTTATATTTTTATTATTTTATTGTTTCCCTTCTACGTGACATTACCGAAAGAACAAGAATATATATAGCTCTTTTGTAGAAGTGACCTGGCTGACAAAAAATACAGCTCAACGAAGAAGTGGCTTATCACGTGGAAATGTTTCACAGCCAAAGACTCTAAACGCGTGACGTTGATTCTAAATGTGGAGGGAGAAACCAGAGGAGCCGGAAACAAATCCACGTGACCACGGGGAGAACGTGCATACTCAAAATTTTTCTCGGTTGATATTGTGTTTTTGTCTATATATATGGATGGCTACATGAACGAATCTTAACCAGTGGGTTTGCAAAGTACCTTCGTCTTAAATAAATCAATTCCGTGTGAGCCAACCGCATTAAAACAATGATCAACCACGGCCGAGGTATTCATACTACCGTGTTTCAAATCTGCCATGTGTTCACGAACATGGTCCGAGACATTTCGCTTAGTTTCCCCAATGTAACTACTGCCAAAGACACAGCTTAGTTTGTAGACTCCGGGGTATTGCATGTCAGGGATCACATCCTTCACAGATGGGATCAGATCCCGAATTTTATGTAGTGTTAAATCGAACCTGGATCTTGTCTTTACTCATGATTTTGGAAATATTTTTGGTGACCCCTGCTATGTACAGTGAGGGAAAAAAGTATTTGATCCCCTGCTGATTTTGTATGTTTGCCCACTGACAAAGAAATGATCAGTCTATAATTTTAATGGTAGGTTTATTTGAGCAGTTGGAGACAGAATAACAACAACAAAATCCAGAAAAACGCATGTCAAAAATATTATAAATTGATTTGCATTATCATGAGAGAAAAAAGTATTTGACCCCTCTGCAAAACATGACTTGGTGGCAAAACCCTTGTTGGCAATCACAGAGGTCAGAAGTTTCTGGTAGTTGGTCACCAGGTTTGCACACATCTCAGGATGGATTTTGTCCCACTCCTCTTTGCAGATCTTCTCCAAGTCATTAAGGTTTCGACGCTGACGTTTGGCAACTCGAACCTTCAGCTTCCTCCACAGATTTTCTTTGGGACTAAGGTCTAAAGACTGGCTAGGCCACTCCAGGACCTTAATGTGCTTCTTCCTTAGCAACTCCTTTGTTGCCTTGGCCGTATGTTTTGGGTCATTGTCATGCTGGAATACCCATCCACGACCCATTTTCAATGCCTTGGCTGAGGGAAAGAGGTTTTCACCAAAGATTTGACGGTACATGGCCCCGTCCATCGTCCCTTTGATGCAGTGAAGTTTTTCCTGCCCCCTTAGCAGAAAAACACCCCCAAAGCATTATGTTTCCACCTCCATGTTTGACGGTGGGGATGGTGTTCTTGGGGTCATAGGCAGCATTCTTCCTCCTCCAAACACGGCGAGTTGAGTTGATGCCAAACAGCTCCATTTTGGTCTCATCTGACGACAACACTTTCACCCAGTTGTCCTCTGAATCATTCAGATGTTCATTGGCAAACTTCAGACGGGCATGTATATGTGCTTTCTTGAGCAGGGGGACCTTGCGGGCGCTGCAGGATTTCAGTCCTTCACGGTATAGTGTATTACCAATTGTTTTCTTGGTGACTATGGTCCTAGCTGCCTTGAGATCATTGACAAGATCATCCCGTGTAGTTCTTGTGCTGATTCCTCACCGTTCTCATGATCATTGCAACTCCACAAGGTGAGATTTTGCATGGAGCCCCAGGCCGAGGGAGATTGACAGTTCTTTTGTGTTTCTTCCATTTGCGAATAATCGCACCAACTGTTGTCACCTTCTCACCAAGCTGCTTGCCAATGGTCTTGTAACTCATTCCAGCCTTGTGCAGGTCTACAATTTTGTCCCTGACATCCTTGGAGAGCTCTTTGGTCTTGGCCATGGTGGAGAGTTTGGAATCTGATTGATTGATTGCTTCTGTGGACAGGTGTCTTTTATACAGGTAACAAGCTGAGATTAGTAGCACTCCCTTTAAGAGTGTGCTCCTAATCTCAGCTCGTTACCTGTATAAAAGACACCTGGGAGCCAGAAATCTTTCTGATTGAGAGGGGGTCAAATATTTATTTCCCTCATTAAAATGTAAATCAATTTATAACATTTTTGACATGCGTTTTTTGGGATTTTTTTGTTTGTTATTCTGTCTCTCACTGTTCGAATCAACCTACCATTAAAATTATAGACTGATCATTTCTTTGTCAGTGGGCAAACGTACAGAATCAGCAGGGGATCAAATACTTTTTTCCCTCACTCTATGGCAAGGTGATGGTTTTGTTTGGGTCCTCAGATGGTTATTTCCTAATGGTTGGTGTGATAGCTTTATGCATTGTGTAGTATGAATATCCATTCGTCTTGAGAGATTGGTGTACATCCTCTTCCTTTCGCTTCATGATAATTGGTTGCGTTGCGATTGAAACGTCATGATCTATGATTTTTTTCTACCTACGTGACTTTACCGAAAGAACCAAAAAGTGTGGATTCCTGCCGTTACGAAAGCTTCAAATCAATCTTGTCAACGTCTAACTTTTTAATGTGTGGATTCTGGTGTCTTCTTGGCAAGGAGGTTGAACTTGGAAATCAGGTTATCTTTGCATTTAGCTGACATTGAGCCAGCTGAAGAGTATGGCTCTTATTAATATTCTTAGTTTTTTCGGTAAAGTCACGTTGAAGAGAAACAACAAAATAATAAAATATATATACAAATAAAAAAAAATTCTCACGACGTTTCGACCATAACTCAAACGGTCGTCTTCAGGTGTGTTGGTTCGCATAAATGTATTTTTAAATGGCACATTTATTTATTTATAAAAAAAACGTTAGCACCACGCGCAACGATTTGGCAGTTTACCCAGGACTAGTCCATCTATATTCTGAAAAGAGGAGGGGGGAGACGAAATACGGCTCTTCTTGTTGTTTTGGTTACCCACCCCTGGGCCAGGCTATTACCTCCCCTGCTCCCATTTGGCAGTGGTGAGTACAAGAGATAGGGGAACAACCTATCGGTTGAGCATTTATGGTTAGTCACTTGCCAAAATGTGACAAGATAACAATTGGCGACTAATTAATACATTAATGAACGGGTCGTGTCAGGAAATTTCTGATTTGGTGCAGCATAGTGCCAGATTGTACTTGTATTATTTTTTTACGTGTGACTATACGGCAAATAGTTGTGGAAAAAATAAGTGAAATCAATTTGTATGTTTAATGCGTGTTCACGTATTGTACTTGTTTTTGCTTCTCCCCCCTACAGAAATGGGTGTAAAATACTGCAACAAGTCTGACGTCATCGTGACCATCACATGGAAGAATGTCGTCCCTGACTCAAACTCATCGACAACAACAACCGCCACCGCAATGGGAGTGGGCAACAGCACGTTGAATATGATTGACGCCAACGCCACAGCAGGTATATGAAATGTGCATTTTTATTTCAATCAATTGCATATCTGGTAAAAGGTAAGGGCACAGCCCTGCAATGTCTCGCTCGTGCCATTGTTGGCAGAAGGGGCCTCAACGAGAGGGAGCTCTAGTGAGCCCCCCTTGAGGGTATTTTTGGCCTACTCTTCCACGTAGACCGAACGTCTTCGAAGAGGTGGGAGTACTCACACTCTACGCCCACCAGAGACGACCTCCCCGATCAACCAACTGTGATGTAACCCATTGGGTGTACGAGGGCTGGGGGATTTAAAAAATGTGCCCCATTGTTTCAGCTGCCTCCCCTGGATCACAAATTCAGTGCTCGAACCCGCCACCACGCCTTAGCGTCCTTGTCTGTGCGGCGTATGGTTAAAATGCTATTTCTTTGTATAGTTTTGGGGGTCCCTTTTGAAAAAAAAAGTTAAAAAAGTAAAAAAAAAGTTAAAAAGTCAGTTAAAAATTACTATTTGGTTTTAATGTAACACAATCCCATGTTTTGGCATTTTCTAAGGAACTAAACCAGTTTGTTAGGATTACTTTTAATGATGTTGTGTTCGTAAACACCTATACACAGGGCCGGAATATTGACGCAGTGGTTATCACACTGTGCTCCGAAACCCAGTGACACGTGTTTCGTTTCCTCACGGCTAACATCAGTCGCAAGTAATATTCGAATGAGACTGGTCCTGTCCCCATTCCTTTGCCAACTCACCCCGAACCAGCGTGGTAAATATGGCCAAACAGGTGGTACTTAAGGAGTGGGTCAAAACAAAAAAAATACAATTCCAGTAATGTGTATTTTCGTTTTAAATAAAAAGCAACGAATCTTCGTCGTTGTGATGAAAATCCTGGTGGGGGGGGGGTGTGGGGGTGCGGGCTGTTTTCCCAACTGTGCTTGAGAAATGTGTTCTGGAGGGAGATTGCAAGATAAGGACTGAGTTCGTGAGCAAATTATTCACCTCGCATCGGCGACGGGCTGGGTTCGAAAGAGACTGTCGAAAAAGCATTTACAGAAAATAAAAATAAAACACAAAGAGACTCAGGATCGGCAGGACCTGGAGCCGTTCGTTAAAAAAAATCTTGCATTGTCACGAGAGACAATGAGCCTGGGTGTACAACATTTCGGCTCGTTAGGCTTAGTAGATTCGAAGACATTAAGCGTTACAGATTTGAAAGAATATTAACAGACAACGGTGCAAGTTAAATAAAAGTGTGTAAAAACGGCGCGTTATTCTGTGCTCGGCTGTCTTTTCGTGCTCTTATTTTCAGGTGAGAGACTGATGCAAGTTAAAGAAGAAAGTTAGTAGTTTTTAAAATATGTATTTTATTGTTTTCGTGAACTTTGCAAAAAATAATTTCATGAAAAAAACGCACTAAAATTTATTACATATCCTGAAACGTATAATCACTTAAAATTATGTCAGTCCCCTTATATGAGCCTATGAGCCTTGCTCATATAAGGGTTCAACTCCTGACCACTGCTAACATCCGTGGTGACATCTGAAGCAGTACTGGGCCCACACGAACCAGTTTGATGAAGTATGGTCAAACAATCCTAATCACATACAGCATGGGGAGGTCTCAATCCAGCAATGGATTGACTAAAGGTCGTGATTATTATTATGCATGTGTAATTTTAAATATGTCATTAAGTAATATGTTTTGCTTAACCCACTGTTTTATCTCTTTTTCTTATAGATTATGTTTTAGACAAGCACATGAAGGCTATCAAAGGTAATTTCCATTAAGCCGCACGCACGGACTCATACAGTTTTAAAGCCCCACTAGGAAGGCCTGAAGGTGGAAACATCACGTGGTTGGGCTGTTAAGGTGGAAACATCACGTGGTAGGGCTGTTAAGGTGGAAACATCACGTGGTAGGGCTGTTAAGGTGGAGACATCACGTGGTAGGGCTGTTAAGGTGGAAACATCACGTGGTAGGGCTGTTAAGGTAGAAACAACACGTGGTAGGGCTGTTAAGGTTGAAACATCACGTGGTAGGGCTGTTAAGGTAGAAAGATCACGAGGTAGGGCTGTTAAGGTTGAAACATCACGTGGTAGGGCTGTTAAGGTGGAAACATCACGTGGTAGGGCTGTGAAGGTAGAAACATCACGCCGTAGGGCTGTTAAGGTGGAAACATCACGTGGTAGGGCTGTTAAGGTGGAAACATCACGTGGTAGGGCTGTTAAGGTGGAGACATCACGTGGTAGGGCTGTTAAGGTGGAAACATCACGTGGTAGGGCTGTTAAGGTATAAACAACACGTGGTAGGGCTGTTAAGGTTGAAACATCACGTGGTAGGGCTGTTAAGGTAGAAAGATCACGAGGTAGGGCTGTTAAGGTTGAAACATCACGTGGTAGGGCTGTTAAGGTGGAAACATCACGTGGTAGGGCTGTGAAGGTAGAAACATCACGCCGTAGGGCTGTTAAGGTGGAAACATCACGTGGTAGGGCTGTTAAGGTAGAAACAATACGTGGTAGGACTGTTAAGGTTGAAACATCATGTGGTAGGGCTTTTAAGGTAGAAACAACACGTGGTAGGGCTGTTAACGTGGAAACAACACGTGGTAGGGCTGTTAAGGTTGAAACATCACGTGGTAGGGCTGTTAAGGTGGAAACAACACGTGGTAGGGCTGTTAAGGTGGAAACATCACGTGATAGGGCTGTTAAGGTTGAAACATCACGTGGTAGGGCTGTTAAGGTGGAAACATCACGTGGTAGGGCTGTTAAGGTGGAAACATCACATGGTAGGGCTGTTAACGTGGAAACAACACGTGGTAGGGCTGTTAAGGTTGAAACATCACGTGGTAGGGCTGTTAAGGTGGAAACAACACGTGGTAGGGCTGTTAAGGTGGAAACATCACGTGGTAGGGCTGTAAAGGTGGAAACATCACGTGGCAGCACTGTTAAGGTGGAAACATCATGTGGTAGGGCTGTTAAGGTTGAAACATCACGTGGTAGGGCTGTTAAGGTGGAAACATAACGTGGTAGGGCTGTTAAGGTTGAAACATCATGTGGTAGGGCTGTTAAGGTTGAAACATGACGTGGTAGGGCTGTTAAGGTGGAAACATCACGTGGTAGGGCTGTTAAGGTTGAAACATCACGTGGTAGGGCTGTTAAGGTGGAAACATCACGTGGTAGGGCTGTTAAGGTGGAAACATCACGTGGTAGGGCTGGTAAGGTTGAAACATCACGTGGTAGGGCTGTTAAGGTTGAAACATCACGTGGTAGGGCTGTTAAGGTGGAAACATCACGTGGTAGGGCTGTTAAGGTGAAAACGTCACGTGGTAGGGCTGTGAAGGTTGAAACATCACGTGGTAGGGCTGTTAAGGTGCAAACATCACGTGTTAGGGCTGTTACGGTAGAAACAACTCGTGGTAGGTCTGTTAAGGTGGAAACGTCACGTGGTAGGGCTGCGAAGGTTGAAACATCACGTGGTAGGGCTGTTAAGGTAGAAACAACACGCCGTAAGGCTGTTAAGGTGGAAATATCAAGTGGTAGGGCTGTTAAGGTTGAAACATCACGTAGTAGGGCTGTTAAGGTGGAAACATCACGTGGTAGGGCTATTAAGGTATAATTATCACGCCGTAGGGCTGTTAAGGTGTAAACATCACGTGGTAGGGCTGTTAAGGTAGAAACAACACGTGGTAGGGCTGTTAACGTGGAAACAACACGGGGTAGGGCTGTTAAGGTGGAAACATCACGTGGTAGGGCTGTTAAGGTAGAAACAACACGTGGTAGGGCTGTTAACGTGGAAACATCACGTGGTAGGGCTGTTAAGGTGGAAACATCACGTGGTAGGGCTGTTAACGTGGAAACAACACGCGGTAGGGCTGTTAAGGTTGAAACATCACGTGGTAGGGCTATTAAGGTAGAAACATCACGTGGTAGGGCTGTTAACGTGGAAACAACACGCGGTAGGGCTGTTAAGGTGGAAACATCATGCCGTAGGGCTGTTAAGGTGGAAACATCACGTGGTAGGGCTGTTAAGGTGGAAACATGACGTGGTAGGGCTGTTAAGGTAGAAACATCACGTCGTAGGGCTGTTAATTTGGAAACATCACGTGGTAGGGCTGTTAAGGTGGAAACATCACGTGGTAGGGCTGTTAAGGTGGAAACATCACGTGGTAGGGCTGTTAAGGTGGAAACATCACGTGGTAGGGCTGTTAAGGTGGAAACATGACGTGGTAGGGCTGTTAAGGGTGAAACCTCACGTGGTAGGGCTGTTAAGGTTGAAACATGACGTGGTAGGGCTGTTAAGGTAGAAACATCACGTGGTAGGGCTGTTAAGGTGGAAACATCACGTGGTAGGGCTGTTAAGGTAGAAACATCACGTGGTAGGGCTGTTAAGGTGGAAACATCACGTGGTAGGGCTGTTTAGGTAGAAACATCACGTAGTAGGGCTGTTAAGGTTGAAACATCACGTGGTAGGGCTGTTAAGGTGGAAACATCACGTCGTAGGGCTGTTAAGGTGGAAACATCACGTGGTAGGGATGTTAAGGTGGAAACATCACGTGGTAGGGCTGTTAAGGTAGAAACATCACGTCGTAGGGCTGTTAAGGTGGAAACATCAAGTGGTAGGGCTGCTGCAATCCAGAGATCGTTGGTTAAATCTCCCGGCGTGGCAAGTTTCTTAAATTGCTGCCCCGCCTATGTAAAACTATCTATACATATTAAAAAAAGTTTATTCTACCAGGAAAGGCCTCCTGAGCAATATACCTCTTTTTCAGAAGTGACCAGGCCACAAATGATAGCCCAACGAAGTGGCTTATCGCGTGGAAATGTATAGCACCCAAAAACTCTATCTAAGCGCATGATTCTTAATGTGGAGGGAAAACCCAGAGGACCCGGAGAAAAATCTACACGACCACGGGGAGAGAGACACGCAAACTCCAATTATACAGACGTCAGGTTTCAGATCAAACCCACGACCTCCTGCATACCAGGTGAGGGAGATAACATCGAGTCACCGTGGCACTGAGGGGTGCACGTGGGTGCACGTGGGAGCACCACAGCGGGTCCTCCCACCTCTTTCAAGGCATTTGGCCAGCATTGAAGAGTAGGCAGAAATAACCTCTCAATGAGTTATAGAGCTCCCTCTAGGTGAGTGCCACAGACTGCAGCGGTGGGAGTACCTTCATTGCCAGGGCTGCGTCTTTACATTGTGGTCTTTGTTTTTTGCTGCTGCTGTGCTCACGCACCCATGGATATCCCCTGTAAAATAGCCCGGCAATTGGCTAAATGGGACCACCCGTGTAACAAATTAAATAAAGGCAATTGTGTGGTATGCAAGCGGGTTGTGGTGTGGACAGCGCCACGGACAGCCACCTACGGATGAAAGTTTGGGGTTCATCATTCTGGACAAGTCACTGTGGAAATGCTCATCTACTTTGGGAGCAGTCCGTCAGTGGTGGAAATTCCACAATTCAATGGCAGGATCCATTCTTCATAGGATGATCACCGTGATGGGGTTTTGTCAAAACCCACCAGGGATTTGAACTCTCCACCTTATGACTGTGAATCGAGCGTTCTCACGAGAGTGTCCCAGCGGCACATTGGATTTAACAGAATGCCATTTCCCTTGCATTGTTTTGATCTTCCTTTTCTGTACTTTCCTGTACTCCTTTTCTGCTTCATTTGCAGAATTTCTGAATGGCGCAGACAAGAAGGTGAAAGGTAAACAAGGCTCATCATAAGGGGGCTCACATCACGGAGCGTAATTACCAAGCTAGAGCCTCTCTCTGGTCAGTCTAAGTCCTATTAAATAGAGAGACGTATGCTATCTCAAAGATAACATATCAAAGGTCACAGAGGGTTTGGCAGCTTGGCTGTGAATGTACTGATGATCTAGAGCAGTGCTTCTTAACCTTTACTGCAGCCTGCACCCCTTTTGATTCTCAATCGTAAACAATTGTAGAATGTTAATAAACACATCGGTTTGATGAAACAAAGTAGTTGTAGCAACATAAACACACACAGTATTCTCGTGGTATCGATCTTTCTTAAACGAAAATATATCCTTGATGTGTCTGCATGCCTGTGTGCATGCACACGCATGCGTTTTTCTTGCCACGGTGGTGGAATGTTAACTCCCTCGCCTGGATTGCAGGAGGTCGTGGGTTCGATCCCGACTGATGCCTGTATATTTGGAGTGTGCATGCTTCTTTTCCCGTGATCGTGTGAATTTTTCTCCGGGTCCTCCAGTTTTTCCCTCCATATTTAGAAGCATACGTTTAGAGTTTTTGGCTGCTATAAATGTCCATGTGATAAGTCACTTCGTTGAGCTATCATCAGGAGAACGCATCACGTAAAAAAAACACATTTTTTACTTAAAGTTTGCAACGCAGAGCGATCAATTGCACGTACACTTGAAAGGATATCTGAGGTCCTAAAGTGATTTAAAGTAGGACAAGGATGGTAAGGTTTTGATCTCAAACTTCTTCGATTGGCTATTCCAGATGTTAAGGGCTGCCACACGGTAGCAATTTAAAACGAGTTTTGTTCTCTGAGAGTAGTGGTTTCTTTGAGCAGGAACAGAGAGGAGCTTTTAAGGATACGACAAATCACTTGAGGGATTAAATGATCTCGAAGTAACTTAGAAGGTTTATTTTGTAACACTTTGAGGGTGAAGAAGATAGCCCCAATGCAATTCCATGTGTAGATCAATGCGGCGCTGGTTTGAGTGTAAATAAAGTTCAGTGAACAGCAGTTGAACAATGTCTCAGTGATCTGTTTTCGGACACGAAGTATAGAGATGCAATCAAGAATCTGAAATACAACTACTAAATTATCAGCAGACCGCAATCATCAATTCGTGAAGTTTCACGAGGGATCATATTGTGGCAACCCTAGTCACGTAACTGGCTTTAAAACAATAATTACATGAAGTGATGGAAATATGAATGTTCTTTTTTTATTTAAAGCTTTCATGACTGCAGGAATTCATATTCTTGGTTATTTCGGTAAAGTCACGTAATAAATAATAAAATAATAAATAACAATAATATTTTTTATTTATTATTTTATTGTTTCCCGTCTACGTGACTTTACCGAAAGATCCAAGAATATGAATGTTTTTGTTTTTGTTGCAGGAACGAGCATCTACTTTTGGATAGCGCTGCTCATTGCATTGATGTGCGGACTTGCGGCTGCTATTTACATAACAGTCATCACGTGGTAAGTTCATTTTGTGTGCAGAACGCTCACGATTTGTAGCTAAAATACACTTGAAGCTGGATATTGCAACACGACTTATAGCCACAATTGTAATATATGCGACAAATCTTGACACTACAAGCACACTACTCCTTATACAAGCACACTACTCTTGATACAAGCACACTACTCCTGATACAAGTACACTACTCCTGATAGAAGCACACTACTCCTGATACAAGCACACTACTCCTGATACAAGTACACTACTCCTCATACAAGTACACTACTCCTGATACAAGTACACTACTCCTGATACAAACACACTACTCCTGATACAAGTACACTACTCCTGATACAAGCACACTAATTCAGATATAAACAGTTGATCTTGCTGCCAAGGTCTGTGAATCATATTTGGCTTTTACTGTAAATAAAAACCTGCTTTTCCATGTGCGTCTCTCCCAACGATTCGTTTAAAATATGGCGTGGGTGCACCATGAAATAATTAAATAAACGCGCCTAGTCGCGCGTGTGAGGCGATGGTTCTCGACCAGGTTGGTGTGGCTGGCCCCCCAATCAAGACCACGAATATCCCTGCCCCCCCATCCCACCACCAGCCCAAGAACATAACCATGTTTAGTAAAGCCACAATGAGGAGAAATCACTCGCCCATGCCTCGACTCAATGTAGTACAAATACCAAGGCATTTGCTTCATTTGGGTATTCGTGTGCGTCGTGTTAGCAAGGGACAAGCAACTTTTTTTAAATACCATGGCACCCCACGGGATGCAGAGTAGATGTAATGCATGGAAGAAGAAGAAGAAGAATAACGAAGGGAAGAGAGGATAAATAATTGGAACTAAAATGAAAAGGCTGGAAAAAGGAATGAAAAGAGAGGAGAAAGAATGGAAAAAAAGATGAAAAGGATGGAAAAATGAATGAAAAGACAGGACCAATGGGTAAGGAGAGATGAGGATATGGAGGATGAATCAACAGAAGGGCCTCCACGCCGCTCAGGGCAGCGTCTGTTTTCACACGGGGCCAGCAGAGGGGACGGATTCAGAGTGGGGGTGGCCACACAGAAGTCACCCGGTAAAACTGGAGTGCTTGAGCTGACCTAGATATGGACATTTGTTTCACGTTGCATGTTTGGCGAGCGTTGCACAAGCAAGGCATTTGCTTCGCGTCGCGGTTATCGTACGTTCTGTCGCCGGCACGTGATGCTGGTGTTTCCCCGTGCGCATTTGAAATGCCTCCTGCACGGTATCCATGCCACAGCCTGCGAATGCCCTGAAAGACTGTGGGATGTGCCCCATCGGTTGAGAACCTGTCGTGTAAGGGGCTGTCCATAAATGACGTCACGCGATTTTTGACGATTTTTGACCCCCCACCCCCCCCTTCGTCACACGCCGTCACAAAAGGTCAGACTCCGCCTAAAATATGACGTCACAAAGCTCTGCCCCCCCCCCCCCCAAATATAAAACATGCATCAATTCGCTGTAAACTATTGTCATTGTAGTGCGTATTTAATGTACCGCTGCACTCTGATGTTGTAGGAGAAAACATTTATTAAAAAGACTATTTAATTAAGTAGAACGTGTTTTCTATATGTATTTAAAGTTGCACATCGTCACAAATGTCTGACCCCCCCCCCCCTCCTAGGTGCGTGACGTCATTTATGGACTGCCCCAAAGAATCGATTTTTGTTATTCGTATCGATGTTCTGTATAATGGGTTCAAATGAACACCGCAGCCACTGGTGGCCACTGCACTCGCCACAATGCTACTACAAGAACCGATTATGCAATTAAATTGCGATGATTACATTAACATTGCTGCCTCAACTTTTAATGAAAACATCACCGTCAACATTAATTATTGCTTAAAATCAATGTGTATTGGTCATTTAACATTTAATGTACAGTTTTCACTAAATATACCATTGAGATCAATACATCCTTCATCTCCCCTTTTAAAGCCTCACCTCTTCTCTATTGTATTGTCCCATTCTCTTCCTCTTCCCTCCCTTCGCCCCTCCACTCCTTTCCGTCCCTCCCTTCCGTGAGCCCTAAGTACCCCTCGATCGCAGTCCCTCGTTCCTCAATCCTTGCCCCATGCCATCTAAATCATTACATTGCGTCACCTGTAAGCTTTGTCAAGCGGCTTAAGTGGAGCCGCTCTGTAAATATTAATTGGATTAGATGTGTTCTTAGCAATGTAAGTAAAGAGAAACCGGACAAAAATTGCAGCATGCATACATACGTGTGTTAGAGATTTTAAAGAGCAGTGGTGAGCATAGTCACTGCACTGTGAACCTGGCAGCCTTGAGTTTGATTCCCTGCTCTGGCTAACAATGGCCTTCCCTTAAATAGGAACTCTGCATTTTCTAATAATCCGCACTGGACAGACAATTGTGGCTTGGGTATGGTCGGGGCCAACCATCTCTTCATGTGCCATTCTGGTCTAAGTATGCGCTCACTCACAGCACGTGTCCATATTGACTATATCGCTAAATGGAGGATCTTTGTGTTTGTATGTTTCGTGCGCAGTTCAAGATCATGAAAACGAGTGGACTGACATTGAGTGGACGACGAAACAACTTCACGTTCCCACTACCCTGCCATCACCTTCACTTACACTTTCACATGCACGACCAACATGTTGACCGTGAGTGCAGTGACTGAAATTCCATGGACAGACCCTCGAGCACAAGGTGATCCAGTTTGTGTAACTCGACTCCGACCATGACAGGTCAAAACTAAACACACAATTGGAATAATTTATCCAGGAATCCTCGATGAGTGTCAAAACTATTTTTTTCAAGAAGGCCTTGAATTTGGACAATTATTTTTTATAACTAGTGCATGTTCTATGCATGTATATTCAACTTCTTTCGCACCGTACATAGCCAGCCGTCCTCATTGGAGGTGCGGGGGAAGGACAGCAAGAGCATTGTGAGTGGTACATGTCGTCTTAGCGATAGGTGTAGTGATAGGGGTAGTGATAGGGGCACCACGGTGGCGAGATGTTAACTATCTCGCCTGGTATGCAGGAGGTAGTGGGTTCGTCCCTGACCCTGAAGCCTGTATATTTGGAGTTTGCGTGTTCTTCCTGTAGTCACGTGGATTCTTCCCCGGGTCCCGTGACTTTTTCCCCCTCCACATTTAGAATCACCATGCGTTTAGAGTATTTGGCTGCTATAAATGTCCGCATGATAAGCCACTTCGTTTGTGGCCAGGTCGTTTCTCTATAGATCAGTGGGCCTTACCTGCAAAATAAAAACAATAGTTTTGTTTTTAGTTTAGGGTAAATTACCAGGAGGAACTGTTACTTGCCAGAATAAAACAATTCAAAAGGTGCACACAGATGGGTTTACAAACCAACTTTCTGTACCCCTTCTTTGCACCCAAGCAGCTTTTGGAGTTTCACAAATCCTCATTTTCCACCATCTCTGGCCTTCAAATTGCTGTATTGCAGGCGTGCAACACTAAGGTTAGCTCGCGAAGCCAAAGTGGAAATAACAAAAACGACTTCATCCAAAATCCAGAGAAATGTAGAGTTTGTACATTTAACTCAAGAAAGCCTCGCTGAGCCGCGACACAATTTTCCAGGAGGGTCTTTCACGAGTTAGAACAATTATGGTAAATTAATTCGTGAGTAATTTTGCAAGTGGGAAGGAAATGAGAAAATCTGGAGAAAATCCTTCGTAAAAAAAGTGCACGTAAAATGGTAATAGGTGTAATATACATGGCGTCATCTGGTCGAGCACCAATTGGGTCGAGGCTCAAGAGAAAGCCGTCCCTTGGTGTGGACCAATCAGTTTCAAGGACAATGCATATATTATCATAGTATGTTTTTATATTCTTGGTTCTTTCGGTAAAGTCACGTAGAAGGGAAACAATAAAATAATAAAAATATAAAACAATATTATTTTATTGTTTCCCTTCTACGTGACTTTACCGAAAGAACCAAGAATATGAATCCCTGCAGTCACGAAAGTTTTAAATAAAAATAAAAGTATGTTTTTTGTTTGCATTTTGACTGCAGGTATTGTGGTTAATGCAGACATGCATCCTTGTAAAAAGGTTTCAGTTTTGTTGCCATAAAAAAGGGGAAAAACCCTGTTATTAGGTGTTAAAATGTTCAAACACCAAATAGATACATTTTGCAACGAATCAAGTCTGCATTAACCACACATAGTACTTGTGGTGAACATGCAAACAAACATGCTCTGATAAAATATGCGTTGTCTTTGAAACGTATTGGCCGACACCATTGACAGCCTTCTCTGTGGCCTTGTCTCACCGGTGTCAGACCAGTGTTAGACAATGCATGTATCAGAGCATTCATAGGTCGGGTTGAGCAGCTACATCATGTGACCTTTATTGCCAGTATCAACGTATGAAAAATACGAATCGGTTGTACCCTCTATGGCAATACAACAAAAAAGTTGTCTTTTTTGTTTGCATTTTGACTGCTTGTGTTGTGGTTATTGCAAACATGATGCCTTGAATAAAGGTGTCAGTTTTTGTGCCAGTTAAAAGGGTAAAACCTATTCCTATATCTTGTTTCTGGCAAAGGAGGTCTCATAATGTAAATGCTCACCCCGAGCCCTCAATACTCTGATAGTGCGCTGTTTTTGAGTTGTACGCCTTTTGGCGTCTTCTGGTCCAACACCTATGGAGACTAGGCTCTAAGAAAAGCTGCCTCGGGTGTGGACCAATCAAATTCAAGGACAGTGCATATTATTATCAGAGTTGTCTTTTTTGTTTGCATTTTGACTGCTTGTGTTGTGGTTATTGCAAACATGATGCCTTGAATAAAGGTGTCAGTTTTTGTGCCAGTTAAAAGGGTAAAACCTATTCCTACAACAAGAGCTGTTAAGATGTTCAAACACCAACGAGAAACATATTCTTATTTTTCATACTTTGATCCTAGAAAGGAAAGGTCACATGATACATAAAGTGATCTGTACGGTCATTGACCTACTTGCTGTACTACTGATTCAGCCGGTCGCAGACGACGGTGTCTCTGCGTGATCCACCAACCCCCCCCCCCCCCACCTCGATAAGTGCAGCATTAAAAAGTGTTCCAGCAAACGGGTGGCAAAACGTTACACAGGATCATTGTGTGTACAATCATCTTAAGTGTATCAGCTTTCGAAAAATCACATTCGCAAAGCAGAGACCTTAATAGAATACAATAAAAACGCCACACGAAATCAGTTACATTGATTGACCATTTTTGTATTTTAAATGCACTCATGTAATCTTCCATCCAGCCTAATTTTAGCTTGGTAAATCGTACAGGTCTGGTACATATTGGCACCATACAAATCACATGTTTTATGACAAATCAGTGATCGTAGCAACATATTGGTATAAGGAATCATTTAAATTATTTTAATGTTTTAAATATGGTTTTGTTCTGATATGAATTGTCTCGTATAACAATTTAAAATAAATTTAGAGTTTCTCTGTGTTTTATAGTATTTTTTAAACGAAACATATCCAATTCTAAAAATTCCTGTACAATAATGCCAATTTAATAGGTAAAAAAAACTTATACGAAGCCTTGTCTAATACAAGTCTGATGTTGAAGAATCAGTTTATATCAGACTGTAGGCTGGTATTTTTATATTATTCATATGTGGTGTTTGCATTATTTACGTAGTTTTTCTTTTTCAAATTGAAAAATAAATTTAGTTGTGTGTCATGTAATGTTTTATTACCTTTGTACATTAACATTCTCAGATGATATCTATATATTGAGATTTTAGTTAATCTTAATTTAAAGTGCTTAAGTTTAAAACAAACACTGTTTATCTGGCAAAAAAAATACAAATCAATCTTCTGTCATCTGTTTAAACGTTGGCCTTCAACAGAGCGTTTACATTTAAGCAGTGCCGCTTTTATAAGCATATATTCCGTAAAGTAGTGGATCACAGATTTATGATGTACTCATTCGTAATTCAAAATAAAGCCAATTGTTCGTTTTCGTTCTGCATCACGATGTGCAAATAAAACTGGGCTTATTTTAGGCCACCGTCCTTGCCTAGTTCTATTCTGCCCGGTTTGAGTGACGTTTTTTGGCTCGATGTCTAGGCAACAAGGGTGCGTAGGAGATGTTTGGGCCATCTACTACATGGTCAAACTATACTTTTTTAAAGAGACACTTCACTGGCTAGTAGAGTTACTTATCTTATAATACTGAAGCAAAATATAGATTAAAATTGAAATATCTAACGACGTCTTTTTAGTGGATTTAAGCAAAAGTACTTGGAACAAGGGGGCACTTTAATATCAGTGGTGCTATTAGGGATATACATGTGGGTTCATTTTGTCACAACATTATCTTTTGAATACAACTTGCCATAATCACTGGACTGCGTTTTATTTTAGTTTATAGCATAGGCTATCTTAAACGTGAACAATTTCAAGGAAAATTTAACAAAAAACTGAAAAGCGTGCAAAAAGCTTACTCAGCCATACATTTAAGAGACATTATAACAACCCATGGATCAGAAAACAAATGCAGGTTAGGGACATCATATTGACAATTAAGATACCATACTGAAGGGTTTCTGAAAACCTATTTAAGGACAATGTGTCCTACAATATTCCGACCACACAGTCCAGGATCTTAGAAAGAATTGGAAGATTTGAGATTGGTCAGAAGTTGCTCAATTTGCTGGGGGTTTAGCTTTGGGGGGGGGGGGGGGTTGTTTTAATTTGTTGTTCAAGTGAAAAAAATTAAGGCGGTTTTGAAAGCAGATGGAACTTGACCAGTGCGAAGTGACTGGTCACAAACCTGATGTGCCAAGTGGACTTAATAACGTAAAGCTGGCGTGCACACACGTGTGCAGGCGTCGTGCCTAGTGTGTCATTACAGCATTGTGAGGGAGGGGAGGGTGCGTGGCATTGACAAAGGCAGTCGTCCAGCAGTCGATATATAAGCCCTTGGGCCAATGAACGATGCATGATAAATATTGCAGCCCGTTCTTTTAGTTTGTATTTTGTAACCACGTGTAAGCAATTACCTTTTGCTGAAGTCACGCAACGAGGTGTACAAACGAATGTTTGTACGCTATTAGCAGAGCACCAACATTGTGCCAGTTAATGGCCTGGAAAGATGAAACCATTAAAAGTGACTCTGTAGTCACTTTAAAGGGCCACTTTACCAACACTAGATGGCATTCCTTTCGTGCTTTAAAAATAGTTATTGGTTGCACATTAATTAACCAAACATCTGGACAGTATTTATACATTTTTATCACTTAGAGTTGAACTGCACTGAATTAAGTAAAAAAAAAACGACAAAAACAAATATATATGCCTGATGGTTTTTCTTTCAGTCAACAGTGACTGGGCCATCAATTCACATGCTTAGACACAAAGTCTGGCTTTGACGGAAAGTTTGACACAAAGTTTGCCACAAAGTCAAAGTTTGTGACAGTGTAATGTGACAGTTCGTTACAGTGTAGTGTGTGACAGTTCGTGCAGTGTGCTGTGTGACACAAAATCAAAGTTTGACAGAAATAGTTGTGACTTCTCGCTGGGGAAGTGGAGTGAAATGGTGGACATCGCACCGAATAGCACGCGGTACAACCCGAGAAACACATCTAAGAGGTATATACCTCAGTCACGAATCAAAAAAAAGACACGGGCAGTGGCATTGGTATTGAAAGTTGCCTAAAAAGCTAGTGATCGCCTTTGTAAAATCTCTGAAGCCGTCTTGGATGACACACCACTGAAGGCAAAGGTGCACTGAAACATTTATTTGGCTTGGGTTGATACCTCGCCTGGGATACACAACACAATTTGGATTGATATCGCGTGTGAATGCAACCGCATCGCAAGATGCCATGAAGAACAATGGGACATGGGGCATCCATTTAAAGTGCATGAGTTCGATGCCAAGGATATAATTTATTGAGTAAAAACCAATCCATTGAGTGCGTGTAATGAGAATCTGAAAGCCAACGCATCAAAATGCCTTTAAATTAAACATTGGCTCAGGAGTCCCATGCAGCACACGTTAAAGGCTGCATTGTTTATTTAAAATAACACTTTGAAAAAAAAAAACAACAAATGTCATGGTTTGAATCATGTATTTTGTATGCGGCACAGAGTTACGTAAATGAGGGTGTCTGGTGCCACTTTCAGAGCTCCCATCTCACAATCGGACAGTTGTGGGCTTCAATGTATACAACTATGAAACTATTTTATTTTACCAGAAAAGGCCCACTGAGCTATACGGCTCTTTTTCAGAAGCGACGTGGCCACAATAATAGTTCAACGAAGTGGCTTATCACGTGGACATTTATAGCAGCCAAATGCTCTAAATGCACGTTTCTAAATTGGAGGGAAAAGCCAAAGGACTCTGAGAAAAATACACGCAACCACGGGGAGAGCGACATGTAAACTCCAAATATACAGCAGGCGTCAGGGTTGGAATCAAACCAACGACCTCCTGTATACCAGGCGAGGTAGTTAACATCTCACCAGGGTCGGGATTGAACCCACGACCTCCTGTAACCAGGCGAGGTAGTTAACATCTCACCAGGGTCGGGATTGAACCCACGACCTCCTGTAACCAGGCGAGGTAGTTAACATCTCACCAGGGTCGGGATTGAACCCACGACCTCCCGTAACCAGGCGAGGTAGTTAACATCTCCTAGCCACCGCGGCACCCTGATCTGAGGTTGACTAAAGATCACTTAAACATTTTTCGACCTCAGCTCACTCAACTCAGGTTTGTCATGATGAGTCTTACAATAATTGCAGCTGTACAATCTATAAGGCTGATAAGCACACATGCTGTCAGTTATACCAGAAAAATGAAC